CACTGGGGAACATGGGGGTGGGGGGGCCACCTTGGAACTACATCTGTGTTCAAAGAAGAACTCACATTAAATTTAAAAAGGTGCCATTTACTATAGGCTATATACTATGTATATAAAGCACTTCAATTAAATGAATGAAGTCTCTATTTCATCACGTGACAAGATGACACAATACAGGAGCCAATTAAGGTGCAAAAATGGTGGTGTGTGTGTGTGTGGGTCTTATAACTGGTAAACTATGAAACAACTTTTAATATGACCTCCTTTTACATGAAAAATAAGCAGTAAGTAAAAAGCCTTTTTGCTGTATATGATGCATCATAATTCCCTCTCTAATATCTATTTCAACATTGAAACTACATTTAATTCTGATGATTAACAAGGTTAACAAAATTCTCAGGCTGCAGTCAGCCTCGCATGTTTACATCAGCGGGTTTATGAGTTGTCCGCATCGCACACCTGACCCCTGCTGTCACATGGACTGAACCATTTCATCATTTCACAGAACCTGCAGTTCAATGTTGAGGTTTCAGAAAGATCTGTTTCAACGTTTGAACAATTTTGAAGCAACGTTTAAAGTTTATGGAACAACCTTGAAACAACATTGTAAAATCAATGCTGATTCATCTTTCAGAATCAAAACATAATTCAACAGTGAATAAACAATGCAACGCCAGCTGGGTTGATCCAGATCAAAACCAACACTGAATTATGCGATCAATACTTTTATTCTTTTAAACAACTTATTTTCAAGATTTGATCCAATCTGAAATCCGATCACATTATTTAAATATTATAAATGAGTAGGTATATGGGGGGAAATTAATACAGCATAGTATCGTGATATTTTGTGTGGCAATATTAACTTGTCAACTTTTGTATCATACAAATACAAATTAAACGTTTGGTAGCCTACTGGAATAATAAAATCATGTTTTCAGTCGCCAGATAAATTTTTCCTGCGATAAAAATGACGGAAGTGACACAAACAGACTTAAAACTTTATCTTAATTACGGCTGTCAGTCGGTTAAAGTATTTAATCTTGCTTAATCACATGATTGTCCACGGTTAACTCATGATTAATCGCACATTTTTTACCTGTTCTAAATGAACCTTAAAGGGATATTCTTTATGTTTTTAATATCCTTATCAACATGTGAGTGAACAAAGATACTTTAACACAATGTAGTGTCCAACTTTACACTTAAAGTTAAAGGTAAAGGTTATCTAAAAATCCCGCACTCTGGCAGTAACTCAGTTCACATCGACAGTAAATGCAAAAACTTTGGTCTTGCCGAGAGAATCATGTGGCGGACGACGCCTTCCTTTATCTGTGTCTGCTCACAGAGGTTTGTGTTTGCTTGCCATTCATAAATTTACAGCCGCATTGCTTCCTGATCTCCCACTCGGGTGGACTGAGGGTTGTAATTATAGACGGTACGTGCGTTAATCGTGCGTCAAAAAAGTTTGTAGCGTTGAAAGGAGTTCTGTTTAACTCGTTATTAACGTGTTAACTTTGGTAGCCCTGATCTTAACAGATACAACAGATGTTGATAAAGTTTTTTGCAAGTTAAATAAGGTAAGAAATTGCACTGTATGTTTTGGCAATACTCAGCAAAACATTTAAATCATGATGATATTGTATCGTAACTTGAGTATCGTTATAGTATCGTATCGCGGCTGAGGATTAACGGAGGTGCCTCCTCTTCACTCACCTGTCGTAGTCTCTGTTGGTATCTGTGTGTGGCTGCGGGAACAATCACCCTCTTCCTCCACTCCGAGCCGAAAAAATGCTCCAGATCTCTTTCGAGCGACTCCAGACGGGCGAGCTCCTGAGGGAAGTAGATCGGGGCCACGGCTGGATGGGAGCAGTTCCTGTCCAGCTCCTCCTCCAGCGCCTTGTAGATCTCGTAGAGGGAACACAGCAGCACCTGAAACAGGAACAGAGAGATACAGGTCAACATCCAGAGAGTGTGACCTTTGTGTCAGCCCACACATGTGTTCATATGCCAGTGTGTGCAGTTTACCTTGTACTGCGGCAGCGTGATCTGACCCTTCTGGTAGCTCAACATCAGCTGTGTGTTCTCAGCTCTGATGTGGTTGGTCTTAGTGGCTGCTTTGATCTGCTCTGATAAATCACTGACAGGAGAAAGACACAGTTATTAAAGGAACTTTTACAGCATAAAAATAAAAGTTTGGTTTGATCAAAGTGTCTTCATACCTGCCGACGTCCCCTGTGTCTTCTTTCCTGGCGCTCTTCATGTTCTCCATCTGTGCAGACTGTAACAAAAGGCTGATTAAGATAGAAACTGAAGTCTTCTCTCCTTCGTCAGCAGGTCGGTCCTCCTCCTGTGAGTTATCGGTCCTCTGTGTCCTCCTCACGGCTCCGTCCTCTTTTATACCGCCCTGCTGTGCTGCAGCTGCTGAGTCAAAGGGGAAGTGTGACTGCTGACTCTCGTCACACCACAACACTGCTGAGGCCTAAACATGACACAGCAGGCATGTGAGGGGAAATCTGAAAACATGACAAGGCAGAAACCAAAAGCTCAGTTTAAGGCTGCTGTTTGTGCTGATGCTGAGGGAGGAACAGGGGTTAGTCAGCACACTTTTCCCTCTCTGATGTATTTCTCTGGTACAAGTCATGTTAGAATAATCTAACAAAGGTTAAAGTCTCAGCTATAAATGAACATGTTAGTTTGTGACAATCGGCCCGTCAGGTCAGGTCAGTTGGTACAGTGTTAAAAAGCTAAAGTTACAAGAAAATAAAACAACCAACACAAACTATTTGAACATTTGATTCAAACAAGAACCAGAAAACATGAACATTTAACAGAATATCCAACACATTCTCACTCCGACCTCATCACATATCAACATTTGGTCATCGACTTTCAACGTCTACATGTGACGTGAGAGGTACCCAGGTGGGTTGGTTGTTGACGCTCTGGGACACAGTGTCAACTTCTGTCTGTAATGTTGTGCTCACACTGGGCGCAAATAAAACAATTTGCGCGACACAGTTACACGTAAAGTCAAGGTAAAGATGCGATTAGATGTGAATTCCTGCTGGCCGATATGTTGGACGCAATGGACATAATGGACATGACGAAAAAGACACGAAATACGTGAATTCAGCAGCGCAAATGAAGCGAGTAGCGCAATTTTGTGTCATACACTTATTTGTAAGAGTTTAAAAAACTGAACTTCAGCAACCCATTCGCGCCACGATCGCCAATGACACAACATAATGTTGTGTTCACACTGGGCGCAAATAAAACAATTTGCGGGAGTCAATTACATGTGAAGTCAATGTAAAGACACGATTAGACGCACATTTCCCCCAGGTGGCACGCTTGGCATGTTGGACACAATGGACGCAATGCAAATGATGCGAAACACGCAAATGAAGGGAGTAGTGTGAATTTGTGTCACATCCTTATTCGTGACAGTTGAAAATCTGAACACCATCAACCAATTTGCACCCTGATAGCCAATCAGCATTGAGATCCTTCAGGGACGTACGTAGTGAGGACGTACCGTCAGAAGTTCATGAATCGATTCAGTGATTTCACGCGTGTATGAAGCGTGTCAACACAAAATATTCTAGCTTTCAAACTCAGGCGAGTAATGTGATGCGAAAATTCACATCAGGTTTGGTGTGAATGAAACATATAAGACAATTAGTGCGAGTCATATCCAGGTAAAGTCAATGTAGAGAGGCGATAAGATGCGAATTCCCACCGAGCAGCACAATGGACGGAATGGACCCATTGGAAGCGATGCAAATTACGCAAAAAAATGTGAACACGTGGCGCAATTAAAAAATTCAAACTTCAGTGACCAATTTGTGCCACAAAAGCCAATCAACGTTGAGATGCAGTGAAGACGTACTGGTGGAAGTTCATTCATTGATTCAGTGATTTCGTGCCCGTATGAAGCAAGTCAACACAAAATATTCATTCAAACTTGTGCAAATAATGCAACATGAAAATTCGCGTCATGCTTGGTGTGAATACAACTAGGGATGTCCCGATCACATTTTTTTTGCATCCGATCCAATACCAAGTCCTTTATTTTGAAACCGAGTCCAATACCGAGTCCGATCTGATACTTTGCAAAACATTAAGAAAGAAAAAAAAGAATGCTTCAAAGCTGTCCCATAAGGTTTGTTTTTTATTTAAATATTATCCAAAAAGATTATCAGAGGTTCAGCAGCATAAAATGTAAACAAATCCTGAATTGTAAACAAATTGTCCCTCCAGAGTTGCCGTAGGGCTGTGGTAGGTGAGGTTTCGTCGTTAGGTGTAGCTGTGTTGCTCGGAATAAAGAGAGAAACGGTGGCCGCTGAACCTGTTGTCTCGACTCCTGACCATTTATTGCTCATTAGCCGCACTCAGTTAGGCGAACCCAGGATACTCTGTTACAATACATTGGAAAGCGGAGGCAACAATGAACAACATAGATGAAAAACCTGACCATTCTTTTTGTTTTGATTCCTCTGATCTTTCATTACCGATTCCGATTTTGTAAAAATAACATGATCGGTGCCGATACCCGATCCGAGGATCTAAATACAACATATGAAACAATTTGCATGAATCAATTACATGTAAAGTCAAGACATGATTAGACACGAATTCCAACTGGGCAGCGCGATGGATAAGATGAACCCACTGGACACAATGTGAAATATGCAAATTAAGCAAACACTCAACACTCAAATATTCGGCAACTCACACCAAAACAATGCAGACTGATAGAGAGCTCTACAGGTCAGAGGACAGATGTGTGTTTGGTTATAGAGTGAACAGTCCCGCTGTTATTATTGAGAGATAGTCAGAAAATGTAAAATGCTCAGATTAAAGATTACAACAGGCCTCTTGACCCTTCGTAGATTATCTTTATTATTGCAACAAGTGTCTTCAGACAAACCTCTGAAGAGGATGGGCTTATGCTTTGGGCGGAGACCACTAAATGTTTATTGTGTGTAGACAAATAATTCTGTGTGTCCCACCTGCCTGGGGAAAGTTACACAGACAGGAACAGTTGGACAGAAGGATCCTCCACTCACTCTGTGTCCTCTACGTGACGGTGAGTAAAAGTCTTTATCAGCCAGAAAGCAGCAGATATCATGTGTTTAAACTGTTCCGCTAAAACACAAGTGTAGATTAATGCGTCTATCATGCGTCACCCTGCAGCAGAGATGAAGAGAACACAACTGAATTTGTTTCAACAGTTTGATCAGAGACACTCACAGTAACACAGACTAACAGTGAGACACACAGTAACATATGGTGACTGTGTGAAGGCCTGTTGGACGTCCTGACAGAGCAAAGAGAAAGAGAGACAGCTTTACAGTTACAGCCAGGAAGTTATTCCATTTAGGTCAAATAAAATATACAGTACAGGGCTGGCACGAGATCAGATTCTTATCATGGCCAAAAGAGTTCATGAGCCTACATCTGTATAAAATAATGGACACAGATACGGTGATGTCACCCATTGGTTTGTGGACTCCCGTTTTCAAGTTTGGCATTTAAGTTTGGCCTTATTAGTTTTTTTGGAGCCAGAGGTGACCATATTTGGGTGAGAGGCTAGCGCTGTGGAGGAGTGAGAGGTGGATCTGACTGAGGAGATGAGGATGATGTCACTTAGAGCAGCCCCGCCCTTAATATATGCAGCTTCAAGCCTTCATAACATTTAAATGGACGAGTTATATAAAAATTCACTCCTGTACAGCTGTCATAAACGGGGACTTTAGCTATAGAGACCAAAACAGTTTTTTTTGTATCAGGCTGTAAACATGTTTATTTCTGCTGTAAAGTTTTAACATGGAGGTCTGTGGGGATTGACTCACTCTTAGCGCCAGCCTCAAGTGGACATTAGAGGAACTGCAGGTTTTGGAACTTCCTGTGTTGGCTTCATTTCACTAAACACAGTGTTTTGTATCCATACAAACGTTACAGAATATTTTACCTTCATAAGCTCTTCTGATAATTTTTTTATTTTCTTTTTTTGGTGTGTGTGGAAAAAACATATTGGATACCAATTATTACTGAAACCAGAGTTTTTATTTTTTGTTATCTTATGTTGTACATTTCAGACACCCGATATCACATAAACCAGATTTTTACATTTTATTTTATTTAGTGTGCATGAAAAAACATATCAGACATTTATTATTACTGAAACCAGAGGTTTTTTTTTTCTTTTTTCATCTTATTTATTTATTTATTTGGTGTGTGTGAAAAAAAACACATGGAACACCAAATATTACTGAAACTTGAATTTATATTTTATTTATTAACCAGGGTTATTTTTTTATTTGATTCTTTATTTTTTGGTGTGTATGGGAAAAACACATTGGATACCAATTATTACTGAAACCAGAGTTTTTATTCTTTGTCTTATGTTATTTGTTATCTTATTTATTTTGGTGTGGATGAAAAAAAAAACCATTTCAGACACCCGATATCACTGAAACCGAATTTTTTTAAATTTTATTTATTAATCAGTTGTTTTATTTTTATTTTATTTAGTGTGCACGAAAAAAAACATATCAGACATTAATTATTACTGAAACCAATTTTTTTTTGTTTTTTATTTTCATCTTATTTATTTATTTGGTGTGTATGAAAAAAAAAACACAGGGAACACCAAATATTACTGAAACTTGATTTTTAATTTTATTTATTAACCAGAGTTATTTTTTATTTGATTCTTTATTTTTTGGTGTGTATGGGAAAAACATATTGGATACCAATTATTACTGAAACCGGATTTTTTATTGTTTGTTATCTTATGTTATTTGTTATCTTATAATTTAATATTTATAATTTTTATTTTTTATTTTTTGGTGTGGATGGAAAAAACAACAACATTTCAGACACCAAATATCACTGAAACCGGATTTTTTAATTTATTAATCAGTTGTTTTATTTCATTTTGTTTGGTGTGCATGAAAAAACAATATATCAGACATTTATTATTACTGAAACCAGATTTTTTATTTTTTTGTTTTTTATTTTTATCTTATTTATTTATTTATTTATTTGGTGTGTATGGAATAAAAACCACATGGGATACCAAATATAATTGAAACCTGATTTATTTATTTTTTATTTTTTATTTTTGGTGTGTATGGGAAAAACACATCAGACATTTATTATTACTGAAACCAGAGTTTTTGGGGGGTTTTGTGTGTGTGTGGAACAAACATATCGGACACATCATTTTTCATCTGGAGGTTCTTTTTTTGTTTTGTTTTTGTGTGTATAGAAAAAATATATCGGACACCAAATATTACTGAAACCGGATTTACTTTTTTATTTATTTATTTTTTATGATGTGTATGGAAACTAAAACACCTGAAACCAGAGTTTTTTTTTAATTAATTAATTTTTTTTAGTCTGTAGGGGAAAAAAAACATCAGACACTTGTTATTACTGAAACCGAATTTCTTTTTGTTTTTAATATTGAATACTTGAAAAATAGGCAGTGCACATATTTCCCTCATCACAACACCCTGGTCAGAGACTGTGGGACATCTTCAGTAGCTTTTCTCCATTATATTCCACCCTGTTGTGTTTTATGGTATTTCTAACACGCCCCCTCGTACAGGCAGCCCTCCATTGGTTTTGTTATCCAGAGGGGGAAGTGGGCTGTACTGGAGGATTTTCGGAGGGGAAACTCATGGCAGCGCCGCATCCTCAGGAGGGTGATATAACACCGGCTGGAGAGTCCAAGGAGAGCCGGGGGATCCTTCCCTCAGCACAATGCTAACTCTCAGCTCCTTTACACTGATTTAAAGTCCATCATTTATCAGATGAGCTGCCTGTGAAGTCAGACGCCATGATTATTATGGGCTGGTTTGTATATTTGTGCTTCAGAGTAGCGAGACTCAAGATGTAGTCAGTGTTGCCTAATCATGGCCCTCATGTCCATCCAGGCTGGGAGGGAAGTACATAATACAATTTATAACCTGTCTTAGACCATTTATAAACAAGTCTCTATGAAAGAAATAATAATAATGACAAGACTAATGTTGAAATATTCTCAACATAATGATTCCAATGACACCAGATGTGTCCAGATGAGATATAAGTGGATTTTTGTTGTTGTTGTTTATTTGCTGTAGTTTCTGTATTCCTTTGTGTCTCAGCAGCAGGATGTTAAAGTAAGACCCATACAGATGTTATAGTAGGGGAGACTGGGTATGGTTGTAACATGTTTTGTCTTACCACATACAACTTGCTTAACTGTTGTTTTAAGGTGGATTTATACTTGTGCGTCAGCCCTATGTGGTGGCTATGCTGTGTCCTACGTCCATGTGAGCATTTACACTTGTGCAGTGGTGTGTCTGTGTCACGCTGCAGTTACACCTCCAAAACACTGGTCAGCGGTGGGGTTTCTGTGAAGTGTTGTGAAGTTTAGTTGATTCAAAACACACATTAAACACACATTAAACATGGCTTAATAGAGACAGTTTCAAACACAGGTACACAAATCAGCTTCACTATAACTCACAGCATTCACAGACAAACACTTGTCTTTGTCTGGACACATTTTCCCCACAAATACACTGGGCTAATTTATACAATGTAAAATGCCATAGACTTGTGCTAATAACATTAGCATGTTGTATTTGTGGGGAAAATGTGTCCAGATAAAGACGTAAGGAGTTATAGTGAAGCTGATTTGTGTACTTGTGTTTGAAATTGCCTCTATCAAGCCATGTTTAATGTGTGTTTAGTGTGTGTTTTGAATCAACTAAACTTTATAGCACTTCACAGAAACCCCACCACCGACTAGCGCACAAGTATAATTGCTCACAACAGTGTAGGCCACATGCGTAGGCTCTGCTGCACAAGTATAAATCCCCTTATAGCAGTAGTGTAGTAATGCAGTTTCAACAGCTTGCTAGCATTATTAGCTCGCTAGTAATCATTAGCATTGCTAGCTATCTAGAATCATCCAACTTTAGTAGCAAGCTTGCTGGAGGAAGACATCCTGAAATAAAATCAGCTAAAATGCTTTTAGATAACCCATTACTTGGTCAGGATTGGGATTTTAGTTTGTTTTATTTAGTTAAATAGCTTGTTTTGTTCTCTGGGACGTCTTGACCCAAATGTGAGGCAAGACCCAGCCACGCAATCATCCCATTGCTACGACCATACTCAGTCTTCCTGACTACAACATCCGAAATATTTCATGGAGTTTTATTAATTGATTTATGATGTCATTTTATTTATTATGGTATCATGTCATTACTCAAACTTTTACCACACTGCCTTGTGTCCGACAGGTTATGGATTCGAACCTTCCTTGTTTTATCCTCTTCATCTTGATTGGCTGTGTCACATGCTCCTCTGATGATCATCACCACCACAATGCCACCCGTCGCTACGATTACTGTGTGCTCGGAGCCGGGCCTGCAGGACTGCAGATGGGATACTTCCTCTCCAAGGCCAACAGAGACTACATCATCTTGGAGAGGAACTCAGGACCGGGCAGCTTCTTTAACAAGTAGGAAACTTTGTGATGACATATTGAACAGGAGACACAAGAAATTAGAGATGTTCTGATACCACTTTAATTACAGTACCTGAACTTGCACATCGTCCGATTCCAAGTACCAATCCGATATTATTGCGTTAAAAAAAAGGTAACCGCTTTATACTAACCCTGTATGGATGTACAATTCTTGCATGTCTCAGGCTCAACTCAACAACTGACGGGTGGACAGACTACCCGCATTTTAGGCAACGCAGTATCAGAAGAACTCTACAAGAAATGGTGCTTGGAAATTGCACCTATCTACCCTCCTGAATCACCTTTGCCTTCTCTGCTCTGTTTTGTGTATCAAGGTATCCCAGGCACAGGAAGCTCATTAGCATCAACAAGTTCTACACAGGAAGGCAGAACCGAGAGTTCAACCTGCGCCACGACTGGAACTCGCTGCTTAGTGATAAACCTGACCTCCTGTTTAAGAGGGTGAGCAGTGAGTTTTACCCTCCAGCCGATGCCTTTCCGCTCTACCTTTCCATGTTCGTGAAGGAGCTCGGGCTGAGGGTCAGGTACGGCGTGGACATTGGCAGGATCAGGGCAGTGCAGTCATCCACCGGCAGGAGCTACATCCTGACTGATCAACATGTGACAGACTACACATGCAGGTAAATTTGTGTCCCGCTGAATCTGAAATGATCTTATATTGGTTTGGGTTGTGGATTGCATCGTGCTGTCCTCTGTCCTTCAGCGTCCTACTGGCAGCCACAGGTTTGTGGGTCCCTCAGAAGGTAGAGTTTCTCGGGTCTGACCTGGTTGAAGGCTACGAGTCCATCTCCACTAATCCAGAGGACTACAAGGACCAGGCCGTACTTATCTTGGGCAAGGGGAACTCGGCTTTCGAAACAGCGCAGAGCATCTTGGGAAGAGCAAGTCGGGTGCACTTGCTCAGTTCCAGCCCTGTTCGACTGGCTTGGCAAACTCATTATGTTGGAGACCTCAGGTAGTGCTAAAGATTTGGTGATTTCTTCCCTTATCTGTTCTGTCTCTACGATATGTGGTTCCCAAACTTTTTATTTCAGAACTAGTCCCCACAGCCCTGTTAGAAAACCTCAAGTACCCAGTGTGTAGGTTGTTTTGGTCAGTTCTGCATTCATACTCCCACTTTGGATGGCTGGATGTTGTATTATTTATAAGCTAACTATTTTAACCGTTTATCTGTCACTAATCTAACTGTTTAAAGTATTAAATTAATTGCTTTTAACGCCATTTTAACCATTAACCCGTTACTTTTAGCTAAGTATTTTAACCATTTTTTTTAAACTTTTAGCTAACGTTAACTATTTAAACTATGTTACTTTAAGCTAACTATTATAACTGTTGGTCCATTTCTTCTAGCTAACGATTTTAACTGTTTATCTATTTCTTTTAGCTAACGATTTTATCTGTTTATCTATTTCTTTTAGCTAACGATTTTATCTGTTTATCTATTTCTTTTAGCTAATGTTAACTCTGTTACCTATTTATCAGTTACTTTTTGCTAACTGATTTTATCATTTATCCCTTACATTTAGCTTACTATTTTAACGATTACTTTTAGCTAACTATTTTAACCATTTTTCTGCGACTTAAGCTAACATTAACTATCTTTACTATTTATCCACTACTTTTAGCAAAATACTTTAACCATGTATTTATGACTTTTCGCTAATTATTTTAACCATTTATCCATTACTTTTAGCTTACTATTTTAATCGTTTTTCTGTTACTTTTAGCTAATGTCAAGCATTTTAACTATTTATCCATTACTTTTAGCAAACTATTTATTTATGACTTTTCGCTAATTATTTTAACCATTTATCTGTTACTTTTAGCGAAGTATTTTATACATATATCATTTCTTTTAGCTAACTATTTATTTATGACTTTTAGAACATTATTTTCACCATTTATCCCTTACTTTTAGCTAACTATTTTAACCATTTCTCTGTTACTTTTAGCTAACTACTTTAACTGTTTACCCATTAGTTTTATGCTCAGTTCACACTACACGACATTTTTAAAGTTGNTTGACCTAGCGCTAAAGCGCTTAAGGTGGGGCCTCTGTCGGGGAGCTCCAGTTGGCGAGTGGACAATCAGGGCTAAAGTCATGTAGTGTGAGGCATTAGTTACCAATTCAACTGTTCATCCATTACTTTTAGCTAACTATTTGTCAGCTTCACCAACCTTTCTGCTTTGGATCTATCAGCACGTATAATGCAAAGTGACATCTTGTTTTTGTTTTCAGAGCTGTGAATAATGAGATCATAGACACATATCAGCTGAAGTCCCTCGATGGGTTAGTGGAGGCAAGCCTGGACAAAATAGTCATCGTTCAACGAAAGGAGCAAGGCAGGAGGAGATCGGGCACCAAGAACAAAGAGAAGAAGAGACAGTTGTACTTGACTTTAAAGAAGTACATACAAGACAAGAACAGCTCTGAGGTGACAGGAGACGAACTGCCGGGGTATCACTTGGACAACTATGCTATGCGAAAGCCCTACGACCGTGTGATTCGATGCCTCGGGTTCAGATTCAACTTCAGCGTATTTGACAGGTATGGACTTATGTAACATGGAAGGCTTTTATTGTGTTGTGTCAGTATCCGTACATTAAGTAATGTACTGGCCTGTCGACAGATGCCCCTCTGTTGTATCTTATTTCCATGTATAAGAAAGTCCAAGCTGTTTTATTTATGTAACGTTCAATCTCCTGCAGCTCTGCCTGCCCTCCAAACAGTGACAATGCAAAAGGGAGGTTGCCGGGGGTGACAGCCTGGTATGAAGGGACCAACACCCCTGGTTTGTTTGTGCTGGGAACTGCTGCTCACTCCAGAGACTACCGCTTGTCTGCTGGAGGCTTCATCCATGGATTCCGTTACACAGGTGAGAGTCCAACAGGTGTTTGTTCATTTGTGACATTAAGAGCAAACAATGCTCCATTCATTCAAAGCATGCTCTCTGCTACAGTTATCACATCTATATGGACCATGAACTCTCAACTACCTTTGTCAAAATAGAGTGCTGCGGGGATGACGTTTTTTTTGTAGGACTACCTGGAAGTTAGTGCTGCTCTGGTTCCTTTAACAAAAAGGAAATGGGATTTTTTGCAAATAAAACAAAAGGTTCTGACACTCAGCAAGATAATCAGAAGTAAAAAGCTAACTACAGTTGCATTAATTCAACGTTGCCACCTCAACGAGGCTGTAAAGCAGTGTCCGTTGTGATTACACTCTGCAGTCTCATATAGCCACTTGTTAGCAATCGTCTTTTTCAATGCGGCACCCATAGCCCCATGCAACAGGTTCAGTCACTGTTAAGGTAAACACACTCTACAAGCTGTGTTGTATTAAAATAGAAATCTTTATTTGTTACAAAAATAGTCCCACAGATACAGTTAGCTTCACCCTGGCAGAACAAGGTTGATTGGTTGAACTGGAAAACAATGGCGGCCCACCAGCAGGTGCACTTTAACACCTAACCACTGTCAGTGCATGAGATACAAGTCCGGCGGGACCAACTTTAACACAACGTCAGTTCCCCTTGGCTACATCAAGACAGAACTGACTACTACTACATTTTACTGAAATCATATTTTTATTTAGAGTCACCAATTAACCTGCGTGTCGTAGCTCTGTAGTAGCATTTCCCAAACTCTCTTTTTTTTTCTGGCAGTATCTCTCTTTGCTGCCTGTGGCCTTTCCTCAAACAAAACTGGTCTCCTTGTAATAAACAGACGAGGAGAAAGACCACGAAATGTTCGACGTTCTCCATTGTGTCCTTTTCTGAATCATGTTTCCTATGTCACTTTATGTGTTGTCAAGCTAGTTAGTGGTTGACGCGGCTACGACCAGCCGGTAACAACTACACCTACATATAAAGGGTACTGTTTATGGTGGAAACGCTAGGGTCTAGGTTCCATGTCTGAAGGGTTAGTTAGGTTTGGTTCCAAAGGTACCATACTGAAAGTGTTTGGTGGAAATGGAGCTTTAGGGCCATCAGTTAACCCATCACTCCTGCAGCACTCTGTTGGAGTGACTGAATGAATTGGACAACTGTATATTTTAATAAAGCAGCC